CCGCCAGCGAGAGCGGTGAAGCTTGGGAAGCTGCGGTAGTGAGGACCAGGGGCAGCTGCTGTCAGCAACCCCGGAGGCTCTTCTGAAAGCAGCAGGGTGCTGGACAGCTGAGCAGGAGGTGGTAGAGATGTGCCATATTAGGACAGAGCAGAATGATGGGCAGCATCTATGCTAACACCTGAGAGAAACCAGAGGACGCTGGCAGGTGACAGGTTTGGAGAGAAACAGTAAGGAAAGAGATGATCCCAAAGCGGATGGCTCATCGGGGGGGCGGGGGAGGGAAGCAGATGACAACTCAGGGGAAATGGTCTTACATCATACCTATGCCTTACATCACAGACCTTAAGTCCTTGATGTATTGAGAAGTTCATTTTTAAAACTCTTAGAACTCAGAGAGTATTTACCCTTGGTGTAAAGGGCACTTGTGTTTGAAAAGTCTATCTAAATCCTTCATACCAGGCATGGTGGCACGTGCCTTTGAGTCAGGCATCTGGGAGAGGCACCTGCACAGGCAGGCGGATCTCCGAGTTTGTGACTAGCCTGGTCTGCGTATTGAGTTCCAGGCCAGGCCTGTATAGTGAGACCATACCGAACATAAATAAATCGATAAATACATACACAAACATCACTAGGTATAAAGGAATACATTTTCTTAAAACTGGTAAGCTCAAGACTAGCTGGGCAGGCATGTCTACAACTGCAGCTCTCAGGAGGTGGGGGCAGGAGGATAACGGCTATCATTGGCTATAGTTTGAGCTTAGGCCAGCCTGAGCTACATGAGACCGACCATCTTTCTTTCTTTGGTTTTTCGAGACAGGGTTTTTCGGTGTTGCCTTGGCTGTCTGGACTTGTTGTGTAGACCAGGCTGGCCTCCAATTCACAGCAGTCCACCTGCCTCTGCCTCCCTGAGTGCATGTTTCATAAACAAATAAATAGTGAAATAAAAATAAGGAAACTCATGTAAAAGGGGAAAGAACTGGATGAGGAAACAGCTGTGCTAACCTGTGGGTGAGGCACACTGTGAGAATTACACACAGACTGATACAGTGAAGGCAGGCACAGAGGCTGTGCTGTTGACACAGTCAGTCCTGGGAAGTTCAGATAATAAGAAAATGTGCAGAAGAAATGTAAGCTGAAATCAGGAACTACAGAAGACAGCCAACTCAGTAGCGTCTCACTGGGCTTGTAATATTAGATGTAATGTAATTAGGTTGAGTATCCGTCTACCTATCTGTCTATCTGTCCATCCATCCATCCATCCATCCATCCATCCATCCATCCATCCATCC